TGCTTTTTCCCTCCCCTATTCCCCCCCCCACTTTGTAACCCATGGAATGTTCTCTCCCTCTGCAAGACCAGTGCACTACTGTGGTCTTTCGTTACTTCCTTCTTTCTCTCTTAGCTCCCACATATGAGTGAGCACATGCAGTATTTGCCATTTTTTGAGTAATTTTATTATAATGTGCCTTTGAGTAGTTTTCTTCATGAAAATGTTCTGAAGCTTTGTTCTGAGACACAGTTAAGTTTCTTGGAAAGAGTTTGATCCTTTCAGGATTTGCTTTTAAGTTTTGTTGGGTGGGACCAAGCAGCATTTAGTCTAGGATTAATTTTCTGCACTTCTGGACCAAGATCCTTTTTAATACACTAGCTAATAACCCATGAATTATGATGTTTTTTATTCTGGCTGCCAGGAGCAAGTATTATTCCAGGCTCTATGTGTTTGGGGTATTGTTCTTTCTAATTCTTTAGGGTGATTCTTTCTCCGGCGTCAGGTAGTTTCCACCTATGCATGAGCTGATCAGTACTCAGCTCAACACTTGGCACTTGGCAGAGTCCCTCTGCAGATCTTGAGAGTTCTTTCTCTGTGCAGCTCTTTCCTCTCCAGTACTCTTTCCTGCAAACTCTAGCAACTGTGGCCTCCCTGAACTGTCAGGTCCATCTTCTCAATTCAGGGAGACCACTGGGCTCTTCCTGGGTTCTTGGTCCCTGTGCCACAGCCTAGAAAGTTTCTCCTGGCAGTAACCTGGGGTGATTGTAAGGCTCACTTCGCTTGTTTCCTGTCTCTCAGGAATCACTCTCCTATGTTGCCTGATGCCCAGTGTTTTGAGAACCCTTTTTAAAAATTTTTTTCTTGAATTTTTAGTCATTTCAGGTAGAGAGGGTTAAGCTGTTCTCAATTGTGCCATCTTGACCAAAAGCAGAATGATTGTTATTTTGTAAGTTAAAGCAGGATTTCTTAGCCTCAACAATATTGACATTTGGGACCAGATAATTCTTTGTTTCAGGGCAGGAGATGAAGTAGAAGACTGTCCTGTCCATTATAGGATATTTAGCAGCATCTCTGGCCTCTACCCACTAAATGCCAACAGTACCTCCCCCGCCTCTGGTTTGACAAGCAAAAATATTGCCAAATGTCCCAGGAGCAGGGTTGAATTAGAGAAGAATCACCCCCAGTTGAGAACCACTAAGTTACAGTAACATGATAGTTATTTTTACGCAAATCTCACGCCCATTCACTTGTGTTCCAGTATTTTTCCTTAACATCCTGTGTGCAAGCAATGCCCAAAGAGTGCGCCAAGCTCACAGATAGTATCCATCTTGACGCAGTGCCAAGAAAAGTGGTTGGGAACCACTAGCCTAGAACATTAAGACCATGACTAGACATACAGAATTAATGAATAAAAGATCTAAATAATCAGTTGATTCAGGGAGCCATGTAGTCTATCTCTAATAAAACCTTTCTACTATTTGATATCAATGTATTGTCCAGGTAGTGTTGATCAGGCTAGGGGAAGTGAATTTACTTGTAACTAAGAAAGCCAAACTGGTTCACTTGAAACAATAGCTCTCCTGTATTTCTGGTTATTAGGAAAGTCTCCAATCAGAACAGACACCTGCTATTTTATCTTTCTTTTTTTTTTTTCTTTAAGGAAAAAAAAAAAAGAAAAGAAAGGTGGGAAGAAAAATTTCTACCTCATGAGAGTGACTTATATCACAGAGATCGTGTTGAATTGCCCCAAAGAGAGGTTTACCCTTAGTATTTTCCTCCCGTTCTTGACTTACATATCATTTATCTTTCTCCTTTTCTAATCATCTCTTAAAAGAACAACTTTTAGAGTCATTAGTAGAAGTTGAGAAAATAACATGAAATTAAAATGACTAGTTACATAAACATATATGTTCCTAACCTACTTAAATATGCTCTGTTTCTCATTTCTTTGCTGACCTATAGCTGGTAAAGGTAAGTATTTTCATGACTTTTTTTTGCTTACATGTCTTAAAATGTTTGTAATGATAAAATGGTAGAAGAATGTCATGATATTGTTTACACTTTCAGTCTCCTACTTTCTAGCTGAACCCAGAATACTTAGGTTAGTTTTACCATTTATAAAACAAAAATGTCTACTTACTACAACTGAAAAGTATCAACCATTCATGCAGGCATAAAGTTAATGGCAATGAAGGTATTGCAATAACATGCAAACAAAAAATGGTCAATGTGTGTTAAGTAGAAAAAACCATAAATTATATATGTGTTATTATTTTTACTATGTAAAAACAAACAAACCCAGTTTACAAAATAAAAGTGCAGGTAGATTTATACCTAAAGTATTTGTAATGAGTTTGATTGGAGAGACTAGTTCCTATTTTATTTTCTCTATATCCTGAATTTTCTCTGACACGTGTATTTTATAATTGAAAAAAAAGAAAGCTGTTTTTAAAACTAAGTATATTGAATGTTTAAGGATAGTCAAAACAAAATAGTAAATTTATAAAATCTACCTTATTAAAAGACAAACATCTTTTTTAGGATATAAATAATATGTATTTATGTATTTCTTTGATAAGTGAGGCTATTCTACTTCCCTTTTTCTTTGACTCTCAGGATGTATAGAAATTCTAAAGTGATAGGGTGAGCTGAAGAGGTAGTGTCGTGCTGCTGTACAGTGTTTCTACCTCAAACATCAGTGCATTCCCTTTGCCTGGCTGAAAGACATTCTTTGGTTAAAATATTCTTGGCTGTCTCCAGCCAAAATACTGTGTGAGCACCCCGTTTTTCCTTTTTTCTCTGTTATGTATGTAACATAATACAATATTATATAATGTAACACACTAATAGTTGACTTCCAATAATAAATAAATGTCAAAAATAAACTAGAAGACCTGCCATCTATTTCATTTTTAAGCTAAACATTTTTTAGAATTCTTAAACTGGAGTGTAAACTTACATTTAATTTTATGAATTTATTTTCTTGATTGAACTAATATGTTAAATTTCATACTTCATAGGGAAATATTTGTCTTTCTTTACATTGAACATTTTATTTCCAATATGTGTTTATTATTGAGTTACTTTACTTATTTGTGATTTTAGTTCTCTATGTGTTGATTAAAATAGTCTCGTGAAAATATTACTTACGTGTTGCTGCAGAAAGCAAGATATGTTAATCTGTATATCAGTTTTTAATCAATTTAACAAAAAGAAGCTAAGAAATTATTTGAATCATTAATAGAGGTATGAACAAACTCCTAAATAATATTTCTATCAACTCTTACTCTTTGGTCTTTAGCAGAAAATATGCATAGATAAAATATGAGCATACTAGCAAGGCTGATCTACACAAAATTTTAAAATAATATACTTTTCCTATTAAAGGCTACACAGGTAGTATAAAAAGAGAAGTGGTGCCTACTTTTCTGTGCCACTTTTAACTTCCTGTAAATTTTCAAGCTCTATGATAGTTTGAGCTAAAAGAAATGTGTAATCAGGTATGAGCCAGTCGTAAATGCAGCTATAGGCAAACTCCTTAACATAGGACAATTTTAAACTAAGACAATAAATCACACGGTGTTTCAAAGGCTCATTTACTGCTTAATTCAGCTCGGTGTTTTGCAGAGGAGACCAGCCCATGGCTAGCAGCACCCTCTTCTTAGTGCTTTCATACTTGAGTCCTGGACACCTGAGTGATTTCAGAATGCTAATAAATGGCCTCCTGTTTTCCTCCATTGTGCCCCTTTCTCTTTTTCTTCCCCTTTCCCTTTCACGTACATAATCTCTGCAGCAACACCAGGAGCAGCAACAAATGCAGCATAATTAGAATTTGTTGCCAAGGAAGAAGCAGCACTTCAGTTTTTGGCTTTTCCATCTCACGTTCTGAACTCTCATGTAGATACCTTTCCTGGGGTTTGGATTCTTGAGCACACAGGGGCTGGTTGTGCTCAATGCCCACCAGATAGCCTCCCCCACCATAGTGGGGCCCAACAGCTTGCTGGTAATCCTCACGTTCTTTTCTGTCCTAGCTATTTTCAAGTTAGGGTTAACTGTTTAAATTGATCCTGTCAGCCTACTTACTCTCTTCTCTTGACTTCCAATAGCTATTATCCTAAAGAAAAATTTAAATTTTTAGGTTCTTCTTAAATAAAGCCTCTATAACTTCTTAAATCTACAGCAAATAGTAATCAGTCTTAATTTTGGTTTTATTCCATTTACCGTTAGCACATCTGGTGACAGTACCACCTAAAGACACTGGAGCATATATCCAGCTGTTACCATAGAAACTCCACCAGTATCCTCAGTTACCTTGTCCCACATCTGTAGTTAGTCCACAGGTTAATCATCACAATTTATGACAGTTTTGCAGTTCATTGTTTAAGCTCATATCGTGTTGGTTTGTTTTGATAATTTTCCTATATTCTTTCAGAAGGCAAACTGAAATGGAGTTTGCCATTATCAGAGAACATTTGAATAACATCATGAATAATTTTCCATTTAAAACTAGTCACCATAATTTTGTTATGATAAACATTAATTGAAGGTAATTCAGTATAACCCAATTTCAAAGCCTTGTATTTGGTTAGATTATTAAAAGAAAGCGTGTTTTCCATTCAACTCAGATGATGCCTCTGTCTAATAGTGAAGTGTAGATATGTTTTGCCAAGAGAAAACTGAATGAAAAAATGCTTTATAAAAATAAGATACTGGATGATAATATTTTAATAATAGCAGATTTTCTATTTTACTTTAGTTTGTAAGAGAACTTTAAAGTGAAAGATTGTGTGGCGGAGGAATGGGGAAGTATAGGCTAAGGGATACAAAGTAGCAGATCAGTAGCATGGGCAAGTCTAGAGATCTAATGTACGACAGGAGGAGTAAAGTCAGTAAAATTGTATTAACTATTTTTGTTAAGTAGATTTTAACTTCTTTTATCACAAAAAGGAGTAAATTTGAGTTGGCAGATGTATTAATTTGCTTCACTGTAGTAATCACTTTACTATCTATATGTATCCCATAACATCATATTATAAAGCTCAAAAATACACAATAAAATTTATTTTTTACAAAGGAACCTTTCAGTAGTATACATCTATATCTCCCCTCCTGGCTTTTATGCTATTTTTGCCATGCATTGTACTTTCCAGTATGTTATAAACACTACTGTACATTGCTGTTATCTTTGTTTAGAACAAGGTCCAGCAAACTGAAATCAATGCCTGTTTTTGAAAATAAGGATTTACTGAAACAGCCAAAAATTTTAAAGAAAAATCATTAACACAGGGAAATCAAAACTGTTGCCCTTTTGGTTTATTTTTATTTCTTCATAAATTCATGGAAACTAATGGTTTACTGGCACATGATGAAATGTTTCTGCATAAAATGTTTTGAATTGTGCTTACCTGACATAGAAAGAAGTAAAGATGCTTGGCCTTTACAGCCTGATTTTGAAGATGGGATAATCCCTAAGAACACATTTTACTTTCATAAAATTTTAGCCTTGGAGGGATTGTAGATTTGGGGTTTTTTGTGTTTTTTTTTAATAAAAATTTTAGTGGGTTTGTTTGCATGTCTGTTTTTTCGATGTCAATACAGAGGCTGTATTTGTGACTTAAATTGCTGTCATGAATATCATTTTCATCACTAATGATAATTGGAGGAAAGGTAATTTTCCATTTATATCTGTGATTTGGAAAGGCTTGTCACATTAGCAAATATATGGATTCGAATTGTATTTCATGAGAAAAATACTTTGTTAAGTAGATTCTTAAAAATTCTGTTTTAATTATACAAATGAGGTATAGACTCTTTTTTTCTCAGAGCTTGTGTATTTTATTTAAAGACTGTATGCTTATTGTTTTAAAAGAAAAAAAAATTTGCTTCTACAAACCTTTATAGTGAAAGAATTTTGGGTTTTTTTCTGAAATTTATTACATATCTAAGCCATCAATGGGCATTATTTTTAACTGCTTGTTATGACCTTCTCTGGTGAAAGAAATAATGAATAAAATTCAGCAGATGTCTTAAAACACTAGTAATTGAATTTCATAAATTTACTACAAAAAGAATTTTTTTAGAGAAATGAAAATTCTAAGATAAATTCCTTAAAATACAAAATAATCTTCCAATTTTATAATACATGTGCTTTGCACTTTCAATATTCTTCCTACTCATTTGATATTATTTCACATTATAATATATTTAACTTTATATTAAAAGACTCTTAGATAGAAGAATAAAATACAAAAGAAGTTGGATTATCTCATTTCTCAGTTCAGGAAAAGCAGTTTAGTTTTGTGTTCATCCCATTAATGCTAATTTATCACATGTAATATATTTAACTATTCAGGTAAGTAATTATTAAATGTAAGGGAATACATAGACTACTTTCTCCGTGGATCATAACTTCATACCTTACATCATCAATAAACTGCCATTTATTGCTTACTTGCTACATTCACCTTTTGATGAATGTCATTGATGTGAGAGATACACTAGTTCATGTATCTTTTTTCTTTTCTTTTAAATGTGATTCTGAGGACCCTTCAGCTTGAATTATATAGTTCTTCCATCTACAAATATGGCTGAAAGTTGAACTTGACATGGATCAATATGATCTGGGCTAAATATCTAAATGTGACTGATTATGTTAGCATCATGTCTACAGATCAATATTGAGTTTTATTATGAGCCTGACTCTATAATTGGGTTTAATCAATAAACTTTTGTCTCTTTTCCTTTACCATTTTAGGATTGTACCATGAAGGTTTTAGAAACTACACTTAGCTTACATTTAGGACTCTGCTTTTCTTGTGAGGGTTAGAAAGAGATCTGTCCATGAATTTAAAGGAACAATGGAGCTTCTGCCCTACCATTGTGAAGAGAGTCCACTTTTATCTTGATAACTGATTGCTTGCTCGATATGCTCTGTATTTCTAACAGAGCTAATGTAGTAACACCCCAGCACTCCTTTGGGGTAGTGTGTAGCTTTTTTTTCTCCATACTTAGTAAATAACTCACATTGAAGACTGACAAAACATACCATTAATGAAAGCAATCATAAAAGCTTGTCTTTTGATAAACCCGCAGGGTCTACGGGCGTTGAAAGATGCAATCTGTAAAGAACAATAAATTTGGCCCTTTGATTGAAGTGCCATTTGGGACGTTATGCTTTGTCTGCATATTTGCACAACCACGATGCTCCCTTTTTCATGTCTCTTAAACTTGGAGCTTAAGAGCGTTCATTGCCATTTCTACATTAAGGTTGGTCCCATTAAAAGCTCCATACAAAACGAAGACTGGAAGTGATCCAGCTGAAGTGTGTGTGTTCATTTCTGCCCTAGTTTGCCATTTGGAAAGCATGCTTCTGGCCATCATTGGTGTCTTTAATGAATAGACCTGGGTTCTTTTCCAGTCAATTCCTTCAGTAGATATATACTTAAAATACATCAACTTAAAGTTGAAAAATAAGATTATTCTTCTCATGGATATTAGAAATAGCTTGAAATGGAAATAGAATATATTCATTCCAAATGATTTGTGGATTTTTCCCTGTCGTTTTTTCTTAGCCTTCAAAAATTTTGCAATTTATATTAATATGCTGAACTCTTGGCGTCATATTTTATGTGATAGCAGGTAGCCTTCTGTTATCATGAGGCATGAATTCTGTGTTCTTCAAAAACTGTATTTGTCCATTATTAAACCAGGAAAGTAAATGTACTGTACATGCTTTTCTAAATTTACAGATGCAGACCGTTTTCAGAAACATGGTATGGATGAGTTTATTTCTGCTAATCCTTGCAAGCTTGACCATGCCTTCCTTTTTAGAATACTTCAGAGGCAGACTTTGGATCACAGACTGAATGATTCCTATTCTTGCTTGGTAAGTACAAATCTATCTAGTCCCTTATAGGTTAGAATGAAAGATTTTAGAAAGTGAGAAATACTTTTTATAAAATAGCATTTTATTCCTGACTCCTTAATAACTGTAGTTGGAGTTAAGGGTAAATGCTTCTAATCGATTGCTTCCCAATTTGAAAATTATACCCTTGAAGACCACTGCTGTGCCACTCAATAGACAGGAGAATAGACTCAAATAGATGCTGAACTGTGGTTTATCAGTTCCTCTAGAGAAGGCTGAGTGAAAACAGAAGGCTTTAAATAAAGATTTTTTAAAAACCTCTGTTACAGCATTTATTAACACCTGTACAGATATTTTAAGGTTTAAATTCTGCTCACCAGATGTTGATATATTGCATTTCTTTCTTTGGTTCTTACAAGGACAACCTAAGTGACAGGGTTAAAAACTGTGCAATAAACACTATGCCAGGGCTATGCATAACCGAGGATAGCCTTAGTTTCATCTAGCCCTCCAAAGATCATTTGAATTCCTTTAAAAAATGTTGGGGGGGGGATTAAATTGAGTAGCCAAACTTCTGCCTGGTATGTGTTAACTATAGCCAAAATTTAGGATAAAAAGTGTAATTTATATTTAGAAGGAATGCTTGACACCTCAGAATGTGAGGACTGAACTTTATAGCCTGAGAATCATATGTGCCTTTCCAAGGATGTATATTGTTATTGGCAATTCCTCTGAAAATTTTCCAGCCAGATATGCCTATTTCTATCACCACTTTAGTCTTTTGTACACTGAATGCAGGAACAGCATGCAGTAAATTTATTCTCTTTAAAATAAGATTTCGGACAGGATGCTCTCCCATCTCATTGGAAGTGCTTCAGTAGACAGAAAGAAATAAAATAACTTACTGCTGTGATCACATCAACTGATCATTCATTCATTTATAGATTGTTTATTAAATACCTATCAGTCTACATGCAACTGCATAGTTTAAACCTGATCCAACTCAAAATTTCCCAATACATAGGGAGTAAAACAAATCATCACAAAACCCAATGATACCTTTCCATGAACAAGTGTACATAGAGCAAACATCAATAAGTTTCCTCTTGGATTCTACTCAAAAGGGTTAGTTACTGAATTATCCAAAGTAATTTTGATTTGTTGGTGATCCCATGTGTAATGTGGAGTCTGAGGAGAACACCACAGTGTGTCTCCCACTGAACCTAGAGGAGAGCGGGGGTGATGTGATAGAAAGCATGTGGAGGCAGGATCACCCCAGGTATAAATCTTGGCTCCACAACTGATGTGCATTGTGGTCGTGGACAATTCACTTAACATCTCTGAACTTTAGCTTACTCATCTGTAACATGGAAATCATAATAACTACCACACATGATTGTTCTAAATATTAAAGATATAATATATGGAATATGTCTGGTACAGTGCCCGTACCATCACCACTGTAAGTATTCTAGTCCTTTTTTCCCTCTTCATACTTTCCATCTTTCTCCCTTTCTCACCATTCTTTTTCTTCTTTTACATGATTATTCTGCTCCATTTAAAACTCTCTATCTCCCTTCTTTCTCTCTAGTATCTTGGATTGATTCAAATAAATTTATATAATCCATCGAGATATTTTATAAACCAACTAACTCCACCTAGCCCTGTCCTCCAGTGTTACCACGCAGGCTGCCTGCTGTCTCCGTTGGCATGCTCACACAGATCCTACCATCTCATTTCAGGAGGACAGGACACTACTACTGCATGGCCATAGAAAGATAAACAGAATGAGAGAACTATCCCAGATTTTTAAATAGACAAACAGTATAGGTATACCACTGCTAGACTTACTGAAATTTTCTTTTTGTTCACTTTATTAAATGCTTTTGGTAAGAAGGCAATTTCAGTTGTAGTGTCTGCTTTACCATCCTCTTTTTAATTGATTTATGAGGAGACTGAAATTTGGGGAATATCGTTCTTTGTGACTGACAGTTTGGATCCTGTAAACAAATTTGACTAATTTTGAATGATGGTGGAGAACACGTGGCCTGTGCTTTGCCGTGGCAATAAGGATAGTATTAGGTTGTCAGGGTCCCAAATCAGTTTCAAACTTAATGATACTAGCTCTTCTGAAAATATCATGAAACATACCTCTAAAAAGATAAATGTCAGAAGACCCTCTCATGCAGCTTCTGCTTATAATGCCTAAAAGTGCCTACAGAAAAGCAGGAAAAAATATCTTTTTTTTTTCTTTTTTCTTTTGCAGGGTTGGTTTAGCCCTGGCCAAGTCTTTGTGTTAGATGAGTACTGTGCCCGTTATGGTGTGAGAGGCTGTCACAGACATCTCTGCTACCTTACAGAACTGATGGAACATTCAGAAAATGGTGCTGTCATTGACCCAACCCTACTCCATTACAGCTTTGCATTCTGCGCCTCTCATGTGCATGGAAACAGGTAATTTCACTTGCAAATACACAGGGAAATGGATAGCGTTGACTTGGAAGAGAGAGAAAATGCGCTTTGCCATTATCACCTAGTAACAGATTTTTAAATAGCAAACACTTCTTGCAAGGGAGAAAAAAAATCCACAAAAGAAAAATGTGCATCAATATGCTGTTGATTTAGGTGGGCTGCACTTTATGTTTCTTTTTACTTTTAAAGCCACTTGAAAGACAGAGACTATCTATGAGATCAGAAGTTGCCTTTTAGTTCTTATTTTCCCCCAGGACTGGAATCTGCGCAGCTTAAGTGTCCATATGATTCCTACTGTAATGCACATGGGTGTGGAGGTGGGATTTGTTGATAGGTTTGTATATACCTAACAATTCTTGCTTTTCCTCTGAGGAATAAACTTTCATTGATAAAGCAAGATAAATGATGGGGTTTATATAGAGCTTCTTCCCAGCCTCTTCCTTAACCTGTACTTCAGGAGCAACTCTCTCCTTTTAGTTCTGAGCCATTGGCATCACCTACTGCTATACCAAGATAGCAAAAAATCCCCTAATGAGGCTCCCACAACTATTTACTTCTGAGCTTAAAAATCTGTCCGTGTTACTCCCCTTCTCTTCTCCAAAAGCCTTTTTGGTTTGGGCTCCTCCTATAAAGGATGTGCCCCACATCCTATCCCCTTTTGACGTTGTTTAACCATTACTCCATCTCTCCCTCCAGGCACTTCCTCCTCATTCTTACCACAAATCTCAGTAAGCTGCAGGTAGCCTCACAACATAACATAGTGGTCAAGGGATTCTGGGAGTCAGAGCATTTGGGTTCAAATGAATGCTTATTAGCCATGTGACATTGGGTGAGTTTCTTCATTTGTTTGTGTCTCAGTATCCCCATCCATAAGAAAGACATAATAATAGTTTCTCTCTCATAAGTCATCAATTGTGGTGGGAAGTAAACATGTTAGTAAATGTCAGGCACTTACATGTGCCACGTGCCACATGTCTGGCACAGGGGTGTTCAAAAAAATGTTAACAAATAGCTTTTATTTTCTTATTTACGGTTATTCTGTCAAGCTACCATTGTTCTCTCTACCTTCCCAGCCAGACTTCTCTCACCATTCCTGTGTCTTGTTTCCAACTCCTCACTTGCTAATAGGGCTCCTTGAAATGGATTGCCTAGTGACCGAAGCCAGTAGCTTCTACTTGGTTTCATGCTCTTTACTCTGTGTATGTATGTATGTAGGTATGTATGTATGTATATATGAGCCCCTGGCTAATATTTCCTGCTCCTCCAGATTCCCAAGTGCAGTACAGAGTTTTCCTCACATCTGTTCTCAAACTTGATCTCTTCTTTCTGAGAATTTTTTTTACTTCAGTGATCTCACAATTTTGACTGTGACCTATCCACATACAGATAATTCAATTTCAGTTATTCTCCTAAACCCGAGATCTCGATTGACAATTAATTGGCGGCTTGAACATTCTGCTGACACTTTCTACTCTCTGTGTATAAAATTTAATCCATCATCTCACTAAACCAGATCTTATACCTCTTACAGCTCCTATCAGAGTGCCAGGCAAAAAGTAACACACCTGGCACAACATGTGCTCAATAAATATTTGATGAATGAATGAATATTATTTAATATCTTTTTCATTAATTGCCCATTAATTTGTCATTCATCTTTTCCTTTACCTCCTAGACCCAATTTGTTGCCAGTGTCAATATTCAATCTCCAAATTACCACTCAAATTTCTCTCTTTTCCATTTCCATTCTATCTACCATAATTCTGGCCTTCATTTTTTCTTATCTGTACATCTTAATTCATCTGTCTACTGCTTTTTTCTCTCTATAGTAGTCCATACACACCCTCAGAATTACAGATTTACTTTTACCATACTCCTTTTCAAAAAACTCCAATGATTTCCATTTGTTTATTAAAAATAGATTCTGAGCTCTAGATTCATTGTTGTCCTGTTGTCATCTTGTTCTATCTACCCAGTCTTATCTCCCCATAATCTTACCCCAAACAGCCTGTTTATTTTCCATAGAATGTTTCTGTTTTTCCCAGTTTTTAACAATTACATATCACAGAAGTGCTCTAAGACTTCTCTTCACTTATTCAAACACTGAAAGCGGTATACTTTAGTTATCTCATGACCTTTGTCATGCGTACTTGTGTGGTATACACACAAACACACACACACACACACACATGCATACATCTGCTTCTATTCTATTAAATCATATCATGAAGGCAAGAACTAGTTCTTATTCAGCTATGACCCTTTATATACCTAAACACGGTGATTTGCTTATTATGGGTGCACAACAGATATTTGTTGAAGTCCCCACTGCTGCCATTTCTCAGCCCACAATAAAATAAGACTGACCCTAGTCTCAGAATCTATTCAAGCTTTCACCTCATTATGGAGCACAGCCTTGCTTGGAAAGTAGGAGAATGTTGCAGATTGTAGTCGCTTTTTCTGTTATCCCAAACTAAACCCTCTGTACTCAGCAAATGTGGGGGTATGGGACCAGTTAGGATAGCTAATCTTTGATAGTCCGTGTTAGGAGCTGTTTCATTAAAACTGTCTCTTGTCTCCTGGCTCTGTCTTAATTCCTCCCAACTAATGGATATCAAAAGGTAGACATCCCAGTGTTAGGCAGCACTCTGAAATGCAACGAGATGAGAAGGTTGCAGTGGAACAGGCAAACCTTCTCATATATATTCAGTATTGTATAATCAGTCTATTTTAGTCATCAACACACAAAGGTAAAATTAAATTGAGAACATTAAGTGGGAAATTCAGCTAATGCGCCCCCGAAATCTATGTGTTTGAAACACATTTTAATGGAAAGTTACTGAGGTAACTAGGAGCTGCTGCCACTGCCTGGGAGGCAACCTGATTTGAATGTACAGGTTGCCATAGTTACTTTTATTCTATAAAACTATTGTTTTCTTTATAATGATACTTTGTGTAATTTAAATTATGTTTATGTGTTAATGCATATATTATCCTTAATATTACACATTAAATTCATTTTCCTGGAGGTTAAAATATGTGCATATCCAGGTGTTTCCGGTGGTGTTTTAGAATAGAAATTTGAGTCAGTCTCTTATTCAATATTTCGGTGACATATGGCTTAAGAAGAAGAAGGAATGGGCCGGCCCAGTCGCGCACTGGAGAGTGCGCCGCTTGGGAGCGCAGCGGCGCTCCCGCCGAGGGTTCGGATCCCATGTGGAGACCGGTTCCTGCTCACTGGCTGAGCGCGGTGCGGGCGCAACACCGAGGGTTGCGATCCCGTTGCCGGTCCATGGTACGGGCACGACACCGAGGGTTGCAATCCCGTTACCGGTCAGTAAAAAAGACAAAAAGGAATAAAAAAAGAAGAAGAAGGAAAAAATGTAGATTTTAGAGAAATTTGAATGTAGTTTAGGGTAGAAATTATCCAAGATAAGCTGAAAGTTGTGATGCTTTCTGTAATATGTACAGTCTGACAGATATCACTCAGAAATGTCATGCTGCCACAATAAAAGAATAAAAAGAGGGAAAAGATCTCTACTTGAATCTCGGCTCTGATATTTGTAATCTGACCCATGTCAGGCAAATCACTTAACCTCTCTGAAACTCTGAGGAATACTAATGTGAAAGTACTGATAATTGTAAAACACTGTATCAGTATTGATTTGTCTTTTTATTCTAATGTGCTTCCCTTTGTCACATAGCCCACAAAGATAGAACTGTGAAGAGAGGAAAAATGTGAAAAATAGTAGTGAGAGCTGTAATACCTTACACTAAGTAGGAATATTTCAATGTGTATGTAATTATACTCTTAATTTCTTTGCTAATAGAATATTCAGGTTTTAGCAACCTCCCCTTGTGAAAATGTGCTTCTCTTATCCATGTCTGTAGCATCTGATATTTATACAGACATTTCTTTAAAATACTGTCAATGTCAAGTCTGACTTTTCTACAGTATTTGCCATAGTCTTTTTTTTTATGGTTCTTTTTTCATCTAAGAACCACATTCATAGAGTCATTTTGCTCATTACCTGAGCCACCTCTGTAAAAAATTCAAAAGAAAAAAGATTGCCTTTTGTTACTGACTGAAGTGAAGGACAGCAGTACTGTCTGGATTTGAAATTTTTCAGGGAGCACATCCTGTTACATAGTGTGGAGCTCTCTAGGTGTGTTCTTTCTGTACAGATATATCTCTGAATAGCACTCTGAGTGTTTTAGAAATAAAAGAATAGAGTTAAACAGAAAAGGTCTGGCTGGTATTAAGACTGAGGAAGAGAGAGAAAAAGAAAGGAAGAAAGAAAAAGGGAGTCAAGGACAGAAACAGACAATCTCATGCAGGATGATAGCCACACACACCCGTGAGTGACACAGCCACTCACTCAGCTGTAGTGCGGTGAAGGACTGACAGGAAGGAGAAAAGGGATTTTCAGAGACAATGCCTAGGGCAAAGTTCTAGGTTGATATGTGTGGTTATATATCTTGGTTTTGTAAGTCAGACTGAGGGTGGAGAAACTAAAGCACCAGCACAAAATGGCTTTTATGTATCAATTTAATGTAAGACATGCAGTGTATTCACCAATTCTTCTAGGGTTTTGTAGGGCCATCTTAGAGCTGCTGCATGCCTGACAAAGGCCAGCTCAGATGTGCTAGCTTTTAAGTGCAGGGTACAAGAGTACAGCATGAGTATAGTTTATATATAAAATAATCTCTTATTTTCTATGGATCCCAGATGATATCACAGAGTGGTAGGCTCCCTTAATGGGCATCAGTCAAACCATCATATCATAATACCCCCATCTTCACAGATGCTAACATTTCACCTTGACTGTCACTTCAGAAGTTATGTCTCAACTTCCTATCTCTAATTTTAGAGACAGGGATGCATTTTTGAGTGAAGTCATAGATAATTGTATCAAATAAGATCATCAAAAATGTTCACTACTACTACTTAATTCTAGTCTTAGATAAATGACTTAGAAAAG